ACCGAGCCAAGTGATGCCCGGCCCACGATATGACTACAGAGGGTCCTGGAGCCTTGCAGGTGAGAGTGAAAGCTTAGTGTCACCTCCTCTTTCCAGTTTAATCTCAGGCTAGAGATACACGGAGAAACCATCTGAAAGGAAGAAAGATTATGACTTTCTATAAACTAACTGACAGAGACAGAAATGCTGATACTGGGCTGTGTCTGTGGTTCTTGGCCGTTCACATCTGCAAGGGATAAAGGAAGGCAGAAACTCCTGATGTGTTCGTCTAAAGAGGCAGTGCTGTGACCATGGGCAGCAAGAGTTCAGCTGAAGTTCAAGGCAGATGTTGCCAGGAGTTTACGCTGCATGACCAGTTCTGGAACTACTGGAATAGGTTCGGGCCTGGCTTAGTCATCTACTGGTATGGATTTATCCAGGAGCTGTACTGCAACCAGGAGAGGGGCAGGAGAGGCCCAGCGCCGCCGGCTTTATGCAGGAAAGTAAAATTGCTTCCGGATTCACCTTTTCTTCCCAGCTTCGCTTTCAGGATCCTCAGGGTCAAGCTATGCTATGGCATAAGGTGACAATGTCCGTGGGGAAAGAGGCTTTGAGCAGGATGCCCCTCTCCTGGTTGCAGTTCAGCTCCTGGATAAATCCATACCAGTAGATGACTAAGCCAGGCCCGAACCTATTCCAGTAGCTCCAGAACTGGTCATGCAGGTAGGCATGGTGGCTACATTCATCACCAAATGAGGCTTTGCTTTTCAATCCAGTGACTTATGTGCCCTTCTCTGGCTTTTCTCCACAAACAGGTATACAACAGGGTTTCCGGACGTACCCACTGGCACTTGTAAGATAAAGTCTGGGGTTTTGTCATAACACTTTGCTCGGAGCTAATCCTCGCCTAAAAAGGACAGGTTTTCTCCAGAAGTAAGTCTCGAAGCAGGACTTCATGCTGGTGACCAATGGCGTGTTTGATGCAGTCCACCAGTGGTCCATAGCAACAGTCGTTCACAATGCACTGATAGACCTGATTTGCTAGAAGTCCATCTGGAATCTGAGAAGGGACCCGTAGCATACTATTTATAACAGACTTGGAGGCTCATTGGCCAGCTCCAGGAGCACTGGGGCAGCTCCATTTTTTGCCACTCCATTCAGGTACCTCTGGTAATAACTTTCAATTGCTTCCAAATTATGATATTTGGCGTGTGTTCTTTTAATATGCTTCTGGTACTCCTGAGAGAAGATGCTCAGCAGAGTGGCCTGCGATTGACTGGGAAACTTCTGCTTTAGCTTCCTCAGGCTCTGCCTGGTAGGCGGCACAGACACTAAGCACTGGGCTATCTCATCGTACTGGGCTTTGGTCAATATCATGTTGGGTCCAGGGATGGGGATGGCGTGGGCACAAGGAAAACACACCCTGGATTGCTGTCTTCTTTGACTGCCCCAATCCTCCTTTCACCCCTAGCTGCCCAGGTGGGACAGACAAATGAGGCTTTCAGGGCTTCCCCCTCCCCACCCCTGCAGTTCAGCCAAGGGAGGGGCCGATCGCCCCACCTTTCCTGATTTTTAAACATGCAGTATCCCTGGTCTGTTCCATGATCTATATGCAAGTTCCTCGGTCCATTCCAAGATCTATGTTCCTTGATCTATGTACAAGTTTATCATGAATACAATTAAGGATTCTGGAATGCCCATTCTGTGCAATGTTATCCATAATTTATTAGGATCCATGCAGTCAATGTCTTTGCATAGTCAATAAAACACAAGTAAACATCTTCTGGTAGTCTCTGCTTTCAGCCAAGATCCATCTAACATCAGCAGTGATATCCCTCATTGCACATCCTCCTTTGAATCTAGCTTAGATTTCTGACAGATCCCTATTGATGTACTGGTGCAATTGTTTTGAATGACAAGCACACTTCACAGATATTGTGCCTTTTACAAATTGAAGGTTTGTGGCCAGCCTGTGCCGAGCCATTTTTCCAACGACATTTGCTCATCTCATATCTCTGTGTCACATTTTGGTAATTCTCTTGATATTTCAAATTTTTCATAATGCAATTGCACTAGACTAGAGCATCGTGTAAATATAACTTCTATATGTACTGAGAAACGAGAAAAAAATCTGTGTGATTCACTTTTTGAAACATTCCCTTCACTTCTGTGGTCTGGACCTCTGAACCCATATTATCCATGAAGTATGCCTTTATCTTCAGCATGATTTTACTTACATGCAATATTAATAATTCATAATGCTATGTGAGTGTTTCCACATTATTTTGGCTCTGTTAGGGTCTGGAAAGAAAAAAAAA